GGGGGCCGTGCACACACGCGTAGGGGATGCTTACACCTGGCCACCTCCTCCCTCTCCATCTGCTTTTTACGGCTGCTCCCAAGACTACACTCCTGTATCCAAACGTGCCTTCAGGGAATCAAGGAAGGATTCCTTGCTTTGCTTTCCTTTCTGTTGCTTGAACTAACACCTACTTTCTATGAATCTGCTACATTATTCATATTTTGCCTTGGAGAGGGAGCTGTTCTCCCTCTTATGTGGGGAAGGAACCATGTGTAGTTCTACTGGAAAGGTAGAGGAAGGGAAGTTTACCTATTTTTCTGCAATAGTACGGTGATCATTCATAGTAAAAGCCCATAACAGGTTATAGCTCACCAATCATTTACCATTATTTCATCAGATGTAGGAAATAAATATGATCGATCACAAAACATTGCTTATAAATACTCCCCTTGTAAGCACTTCAACACCAAAAAGCAGGAAAAAACTACATCATCATCTGGAAAACATGCCTAAAGGCAGGAAGGAAGAGTGGGAGCTAGAGCTGCATGCAAACCTGCTGATTCACGCAGCTGTTTTTTTTGTCACATCTCAGAGGCAAAGGTGGAAGGCACGGAGTGAAAATACTGGCCTGTGTTTCGCTGTGCTTTGATCAATTAGTGCTGCTGTCCTGAGCCTGAAGGAAAAGTTCAGAAACCTTTGTACCTCTGAAATAAAAGAGCTGTGAGGAGGCTGCCACAGTACTCCCTCTGCTCATGGCATTAGTGCACAGAGAAAGGTGCAATTCCTAGCAGATTCTCACTAAAATGACTTTTCACTACAGGCTGATTCATCACATTTTTGGCTTCAACCAGTTCAACTTTTTTAACGTTTAGAGATCCTTTTATTTCTGTGCTATACTTTGTTTCCATACTCTTCATTCATACATATTTCTCTTTATAACTATCAATAATAAAACCACTAAATTCTTCCTTTGAGGCCTCAGATACACTAATTTGTCTGTGCTTATTTTTTTGTTTATCATAGAATCACAGAAATCAGCATTCACAGACCATCTTAAACGTCCAAAGTATCACACAGACATTAACTAATGCCTTTTACATTGAATTTGCCACACTGCATTAGATCACCAGTTGGTCTAATCCAACATCCTGTTACCAGCAATAGCCAACTGCCAGTGCTTCAGAGGAGCTAAATGCCACCAACTGCCCCCAGAACAGTTACAGCCTTCTTCCAGGCAAATGCTGGTTCCAATCTTTTCAGGCTCCAGGTTCTGAAGAAGGAGGTGAGACATTTTCTCCTTATTACATGTGTCAAAAAAGAAAAGGAAGGTTGGGAGCTGCTACCATCAGAGCACCTCTCTCCAAGGCACAAAGCTTATGGTCTCAACCAAGGCATTTTGGCACAACTTTCCTAATGTTCATTTTCCAGTTGCTTGAATGGAGATGAAAATAAATAATTCATTGAAACACTTCATTTTCAGTAATAGAAATTTTAAAGCATAAAAGCTGCCAAACTCCACCAGAAGGTCAAAGCATGCTTAGTTTGTGTGGCCCCATCTGATTAAATAATTAATTTCTTATCCAGTGGTTATGGATGTTGCTTTTACTCAACAGAAGAGTTTTACTGTCACATAAGTCTTAGTCCATCAATACACTACTTTCTGGCAGAAACACAGATGGGATTTGGTCAGACTTACTAGCACAGGGCTGGGGAAAAGGGCAGCCCATACATTGGGGCAGTGAGACAGCCCACATCACATTTTGCCTTGGTTCTTTTGGCAAACCTGCAGCAGTGGAAGCTGGCCCAGAGAGGACATGTTTTACAACAATATAAAACATTTCTCATGGTGATGCAAATGCATACTGTTCTGCATGCCTTCACAGACCCCACAGGGACAGTGGCTGCCCTCCAGATCCAGATCTGCCACTGGATTAATCAAATAAACCAAACATATTTTTAATCCCAGACTTGAAATTTGTATCTTGTCATTCAAACTGTGAAAAGCCTTTCACAACCTTGTGAAAACAAATGTTACTTCTTACCCTCCTGCACACATCTGCCCATTCCTTCCCTCCCATGATGGACTTCTGTAGTAGGTCTGGCTGGATTCCAGGCACCCACCAAACCCCTCTGTCACTCCTCTCTGCAGCTGGACAGAAAAGAGAAAATATAACAAAGGGTTCATGAGTTGCAATAAGGACCAGGAGAGATCACTCATCAAATACCAGCACGGACAAAAACAGGATAGAATTAGAGATATTAACTGAATTTATTAGTAAAAAAAATTAGAGCAGGATGCTAAGAAGTAAAGTAAAACCTTTGAAACACCTTCCCTCCACCCATTCCTCCTTCCTGACCTCTACTTCCTCCCCCAGCAGCACAGGAGCACAGGGAATGAGGGCTATGGTCGGTTCATCATCCATGGCTTCTCACACTGCACAGGGAGGGGAATCCTTCCCCTGTTTCACTGTGGGTCCCTCCCACAGGAGACAGTTCTCCATGAGTTTCTCCAGCCTGAGTCCATCTCACAAACAACAGCTCTCTGTGAACTGCCACAACCTGGGTCCATCCCACAGACCTCAGTCCTGCTCTAACTGCTGCAGTGTGGGTGACTCTTCCACGGGGTGCAGGCCTTCAAGGACAGGCCTTACCACCACTCCTACCTGGTGTTTAGCCTTGATCAGAGGCACGTCCATCTGTGGAGCCACCAGGGATTGGCTCTGCCGAACATGAAGGAAGCCTCTAGCAGCCTCTCAAAGCAGCCACCCCTGTGGCCCTCCCCACTGCTGCCAAAGCTTGGCCAAGGAAACCCAATACAACTTCAAAAATTATTGAACTCTGTTCAGGTGCCACATACCTAACATGGCTCCAATTTCAAGGTAAATTCACTTCTGAGAGAAGCCACTGATAAAATATGATTTCTGATGGTAGTGCTCCGCTAGAAAGGGTCTCACGACAGTCTAAGCACTTCCAGAGGAGAAAAAACATAACCTAAGAGATAATGTTACTTCAGGCTGTCACACAATCTTTCCTTGGCCAGGAGCCTTGGTAATGTTACCATGCTGTGTGACCTCCTTCTCGGCAGCACTGTGTGCCCAGCAGACAAAGAGGGAGTGCTGCACCTGCTCCATGCCATTTGTTCTCTCCTCCACATTGATGCCCAGCCAGCAAACCAAAAGACTAAGACACCTTCACTCTAAGGATAGGCTGCTGCAGACACCTTGAGCTCCCAGCTCAGTCATCCAAGACTTTTTTGGGTCCAGAGAACTTTCTCACAAACCCTTTTTTCTCAGAGAGAGCTCTTATTGCCAAGATGCAGGAGAGCTACTCACATTTTTCTGTTTCCATCAACCCCCCACCTCCAGATTCCAGTGGGAAAGCAGGTAGCTGGCATCACACCAGAGATGCTTTTGTTTCTTGGAGCTGCCAGCATGCCAGGCCTCATTCTAGCAAACAGCATCTCCCACTTGGGCATACATGACAGCCACATACACTCTTGTTCCTCCTTTGCTTCTTGCTGGGAACACCTCTGTAACCTATTGGCAACTTGTTTGAAATGGGATTTGTGCAGGAGTAAATCAGTTTTTAAGTGCTGTCAAAATCCTCCCAGCCCATTAGCCTCCTGTAGATTACACCTCTGTTGTTTTGCTTTCATTTTTTCTCCACTTCCTTCTGCACACATCTCCTGTCCTGCTAGCCCTCAGTTACACTTCCAGTATCATACACTGGAACCCATGCACATTTTTTGTGTTTAGCAGGGCATTATTAATACTTAGAGTAGATGTAAATAGAGTAGCTCATCTCCAAAAGACCATTAAAGCAACATGGGAAAAACAAGAATAAAAGAGTAATCTTGGCACACCATCCACCCTTTTGCCTTGTTAGGGCACTTGAGTTCACAGTCTGCTGATGAAGAACAGGTAAGGCTAAACCTGGCTATGAGCACCATCCTTGCCATGACATTTCCTTTCTTGGAGTACCACAAACATGCACTGCATTAAGAGATTTTTTTTTTATTCCTGTGACTTGAAATGTAGCATATAGTTGTGGAGCAGTCATCAGGGCTGTCATGCTGTCATGGGAGCAAGAAGCTCCAGCTCACACCCTGGAGTTTATAGGGATTTGGGTCTTGAAGCTGCACTACTTTCTTCTGTACATATAGGCCTGTACCAGAGAAGTTAAAAAAAAAAAAATCTCCTGGAAACTACCCAGAGCTTTTCTCTCTGAGGGAAACAAATGAGGCCTTAATTAATTTTCTTTCAAATACAGCAAATTGACTTCTGCTCCAGTTGTGCTAGTTTCAAGCCACACAGCACAATGGTATTAATTCCACTTCACTTAAGGGCTAAATGTTCAGAGCAAGGAAAAGGGAGTTTCCTGTAAGTCTTGCTACAGTTGAAGTCAACAACAAACCACCCTGATTTTCATAGGAGTTGTTTCTTCAGAGTCTGCATTTCTGAGGGTGACTGTGACATATCCCCGGGTTAGCACAGCAAAATGCAGGATACACGAAAGGCATTGGCTGAGCAAATTGCCTGGTCCTTTGCATATTTTTAAAGGTCTGCCACATCCTGCCTCAAATTTCATTTTACAGGCTCAAAGATAGAAGCACTTTTAGTGCCCTGTCCTAAGGCTAGCTTACTGGTTCACTGATCGTCCTAACTAGCCCTGCTGTATCAAACTCACTTTAATCTTTTTTAACACCAGAATCTTGCCTCCAGGATTTCCCAACATTGGAATAATACACAGTGTTCTGCACAGGGTCTCCTCAGTACCCTGCAAACCAGTGGTGTCCTCCCTTGCTATCAGAGACACTTTGCCCAATAAACCAGAAGACCACATTTGCCTTCTTAGCATTCGCTTCCTTTGGGTACAATCAGCACTCATGCCATGTCCAGAGAATGACACTCAAAACCCAGCAGAACAATTTCCCTGGACACAGTGCCACTGTACAGGCACCATCCTGCACAGGTATCTCACTGTGGTGTTCTTCAGGGCCATGGACCTGTACTGGCACCATCTCGTGAATCTCATCCCTGAGAGTTAGAAGAAAAAAAATTGTACAACAAAACCCAAATCACTGAGTACAGCGAGCCTGTTAGTTTAAGGAGAGAAACTGCAGGATGTGACCTATATATACATGTATAGGAAGGACCAATTCTACAAAACTGCTATGGTAAACTATCCATCATCCCACCCTCTTTAGCATGTTCAACGATACAGTAGCTGCATCACTGCTTATGTGCTACAGTAAAGAGGTAAAGGGGATCTAAGATGATGAAGGACAAAACCTCCTTCACCATAAAATCCTGTAAGCAATTTAAGTTATCTTCCAACCATCTTAAATTCCTCCCACTGCCAAGTTTATCTAATGTACTTGTTATTCAGCTTCATTATCACATTGACTCTGTTCTACTTAGGGAAGGTGCTATTATTCCTCTTCACAGATGGAAGAGGGTGGTACAGATCCCATAGATACCAACTTCCACCATTTGCTTAGTAAAAAAGTGACAAGCAAAGAACTGAACCTGCTCCTAACATCCATTGTTCTCAACCCTTCCTGCTTTCCAACAACTTCATGCTCCACGATTTCCCAAAAAGCAACCCAATTTACTCTCAGCTTCTCCTCTGTCAACCCTGAAAATTAAATTATAAAGTCAGGCTTCTCTTGACTAATTCTTCACAATTAAGGGTAGTTGTAGAAGTCTTTCTATTACACAGTACGTTTTTTTACGGGACATTTGTTAACTTCTTGGATTCCCACCCGTTCTTTCCTCATGATTTTGCATTGTTTGGCTACATACAGACTCTGTACACCTCAAGAGAGCAGCAAATCTTAATTTTCTTTTCTTTATATAAAAATCAGCCCTTTTCAAGCCGCATACTAGAACTACTGTCTGCTGACTTTCATATTTTCTGAGGCAACATCTGGCATAAAAATTGATTGCAAATATGATCAGTTAGGAAGATTTTCTCCTAGCAGTCTTCCAGTTGGCTTCATTCCCAGAAATCGGCCCAACAGAAAAGAAAAATCTATTTGGCACTGTCTCCAGTTGCAATTACTCATTCTTCAGGTAGAACAGTTTCCCCCTTGGGGAGGTTTTGCTGACATGCGATTCACATTATGGGTTCTGAACTGCCCTGGAACTGGTATGGCCTCTGGGGTTCTGGACAGGTGCTCTCTGATGCCTAAGGAATTCAGAATCCCTGCTCATGCTGTAAAAGATTAATAGAGGTTATCCCCTCCAAAATCTAAGCATATAACTATAGGTATAACTTGAGGAATTTAAACCTAATCCTATCATTATGGGTAGTAGGTTTCAGCTGCAGCATTCACCCATAATTAAGGAGAATTATTCATAAGGGGCTTTGGCCAAAGTCATGGCAGCGTTGTAGCTCAGGTCATTGTTAAACAGTGTTAAATCAGCAGGGGCAACTCAGGCTTGGGCTACCTCCTGTGGACCCAATGTGGGAGAGTGATGCAATCCTGCTCATGTGTGTTCACTTTGCCTTCATGAGTGGGATATTTGTCCTCCAACTCTCCTGAATTCAAGAGCAGGCATCATGGGTTTAACACCTCTCTGTCTTTCTCCTCAGGCCATAATAGACACGAATGCAGGCTGAGTGCATTGGCCCCATATGCATCCTTTACACTCCATAAGCATGGGTGTAGGGATAACAAAACAAGGAAAGGTCCAGCTTCCAACTCCTGACCCCTCTCATGCTCCCTGCTGTGCATCACTCCCAGATGAGAGCAGAAGGAAACAGCAAATCTCTTCCTGCTGGCTGCCAGCTCCTTGGCACAGCACCATCAAGCAAGACCAAGTACAATCTAGGAATGAAATAGCAGCTCATATTTAAATTGGAACATTAAATACTATATCCTAGAATGCTGTGTTCTGATGTGGCTTCCAATAGGCCAAGGAGGAGTGATGTGAGATTTTTTCAGTTCTAAAAATACCTAACTGATAAAATCCAAGCAGCAGTGAAGGTAAAAATCATACCAAAAGAGAAATAATCTTACTATTCAGCTAATGAACACCTCAGATTAGTTTAAACAAAAATAATTTTAAATCTCCAGTCTTAATCTGACAGTTTGTTCTGTTTGATTACACTTTGCATTTTACTTCCCTGGAAGAGCATCACCAGCAATGTCACATTTCCCACTGTTCTTCAATAGCTTCATGCTGTGATTACGAGGCTGTGCTAGAATAAATAGCGCAGCTTGGAAACTGAAGCAGCATGCAAGACTGATCCTTTGCTCAAAACCAACAGTTTTCAAGTAAATAAATGGGATGTAATTGCATTCAGCTTCAGCTTGAAAATGTAACCATGTAGCATTAGGATGTAGCCTTCCTGTTGAGTTTACATTCAATGGGCCTTGCTTATTAGAGCCTATTGTGGGTCACTGCACTATTTGTATCTGGAGAGTAGCTCATGCACATGTAGTTTGTAGTCCTGCATGGATACTCCAGTGGTGTATTCTGACCTCTCATAACAAAGACATCCTCATACTCATTTCAGCTATTTGTTTACCTCATCTGAAGCTTGCTCTATGACCTTTGGGGCCAAATCCTCCGTGATTCACTGTGTGCAAGGGCTCCATAACTCCCTCATGACCCATGAGCTCCCCAAAGAAGCCAAGCCTGACCAGAAGAACTGTGTGCATTACGTTCAACAAACACATCTGAGGTTTGGTTTCTGCCAATACATGCCAACATTCTAATTGCTCCAGAAATAACCACTGACAACAGAATATCTTGAAAACCAAATAAAATCTACCCTAATACCTATACTTGTTTCCATGGAAATATGCAGTGACAAGGTTTTTTCCCCTCATTTTCTCTGCCAGCCTACCATAGTTTTGTTCAAACAGTCCTGGTAACTGACTAGGTTTACCCAAAAACAAAACTACTGCAGATGTGCCAAACTTGCACAAAGCCAAATAGAGCTGTTCAGCATGACCCCAAGAAAGCATCCATGCAGCAAGACTGCTGCCAGTCCTCAACACAGACACAGACAATCCTCTGCAGATCCCTTCAGCCAGGGACCAACAAAATCTTTTCATTACTGAGGACTAACTGGTTTCAGTGAGACAGCAAACAGCACACACCATGGTGTTTCCCAGCAAGATGAACACAAATAACAACTCACCATCAGCACACTGGCCTCAGACTCCAGCTTCGTATTAAAGTGAAAGCTATAGTACTTGCAATGCAAGTCTGTCCCCAGCGGCTGCCAAACATTTTGCTTCTGGCAGTAGCCCTCTGCATCGCCCCCCACCGTATGTCACCATTCCCAGCTGCCTCCTCACGCCCCATCTCTTCTCTGCTTCCCTGCTCTGGGCAGCTGCCCCAGCCAGAAGCTCCATTTCCCTGGGGACCCCAGTGAGGGTGAGCCACAGATGTCAACATTAGGCAAAGCCTCTGGGCTGTGACCCGTGGGGATGGTGCCCCAGCTTTGGGCAGTTACTTTGAAGTCTCTCAGGATGCTGTGCACTCACCACACCAGAACAGCCTGGCAGGGGGAAACAGAGGAGGGATGCCTTGCCACGTCTCTCAGCAGGCAGTCTGTGATGGCAGGAGGAAAGCAAATGCCATCCTGCCATCCATGCAGGAAGGTAAAGGCAAGCTGTGCCAGGACTGCAGGTAGAGCAGAAGCACAGAGTGACAAAAACAAAGGCAAAGTGTGGGAAATATAAAAAGGGAACCAACACTGAAATCTCACATAGGACTTTGGCTTTTGTCAGGTTGTTACACTGATGTTGTGGCATGCTGGGCTTTGGACCTTGGCTATCAGGCTAGCCCAGTGTATAAAGTCAAATGGGACTTTATGTTCAGCATTATCACAGAGCAGGCTGTAAAATCACTCAGGTGGATGGGCTGCAGGACTGTAAACAAAGGATTTTGGCATGTGACAAGTGGCTGTTCAGAGGGAAGGAACCGAGGATACCATGGTGCTGGGGATCAGTAAAACATTAGACTGACCGCCTCATTAAAGTTTTAAATTAGTGCTTAAACCATCCAGCTAACAAAAGAAGGTTGGTGTGTCCTGGGAGAGGGGCAGGAGCTGCAGCTGGGCAGGGAAGGGACATATTTGGGCAGATACCTGGTGCCTGTGACCCAGCAGCAGCTAGGAAGAGAAGGGCAATATGCCTGAGAGATGCTAGCAAAAATTGTGTCAGAGGCCTCCCTATTGTCCTCTCCCCAAGGCTGTCACTTTCCCCTTATCCACAGGGCTTGGGAAGGTGCAGGAATATTTTGGTGTAAAACCAGCAAGAGTCTAAGGAAGACGGAATAGGCTGAGGGTTCAGGTAGCTACACAGTAGGTCAGGGTTGTCTCAACAACAGTATAAAAAGCCTGAGACAGAGAGTAGAAATTGCAAAGTAGATGAAGATAGGATTCAACCTGGAAAACAAAGGCTATTTAGCAAGGAGGAAATAATTCACCAACTAACATTCCTCTTGGCAGAGGAGGGAAGAGTTCTGGAAAGTCAAACTATATTGATCTAGCCTTAGGAGAGCCAGAAAATTAGCGAAGGGGACACAAAGAAATTAGCTAGACAGGAGGAAGGCAACACACCAGCACCAGGAATGTGCACAGAGCTACCCTGCCAGGCAACACAAAGCTGAGTGCTGGGCAGGAACCCACCGCTCAGTTCAGGGCTGTGCCTACCATGAGAATCTGACACACCGGCAGGAGACAGAAGGTGATAGCTCCCTGTGCAACCGTGGGGGGTTGGATTTGTGATGACAGTATGTGTTCATGTCTCTGAGGGGACATAGAAACAGTTGACAAACATTTGTAAGGCATACACCCAAGCAGGAGGGAGTGCAAATTACTTAGAGAAGACTAAACAAAGAGAAGGAAAAATCAAAGCTGAAGGTAACTCAAAAGCTTTTACCAAAGAGCAACCAATAGTAGGTTGTGAAATAGCTCCCATGAAGAGAGCAGGGAAGAACCCAGGTTTGGACAGTTTTAAAGTTAGATGGGAAGAAAGTAAATAATACATGAGCAATGGAAGGCATACGGAAGAATTTGTTGAAGTGATACAAAAATTTCCACCCATTCATTCCACTGCCCCACATCTCTTGCTATCATTAGTAGTGATGCAAAATTAGAAATGTTTATTAAAGCATATCATTATAGTACTGCTCCACCTGAGCACATAGATTTCTAGACATATCTAGTCAACACAGAATTAGGCTTTATAATTGTGTCTGGGAAAATGATTCACAAGCAGCGATCCACGTAAACTCCTCCAATGATCTCCTCCTTCCCCATCCCAAAACTCCTGTAGTCTTGATGAGATAGGGATATGACTCCGTGTTTGGACAGTGTGTGTTAACGTCTCCTAAAGTCACATCCAGCTGCTTCTAAAAATCTCCTGATAAATCCCTTTTTAATTGCATTTGGGAGACCACTTACAGGTCTCCCAAAGATGCACATGGAAACCTGAAAAGATCAAGGTCCAAATACAGTCCTGATGAAGGCTGAAATAAGCAACATGCCAAAAGCTTGGAGGAGCCTACACCTTACCTGGCATATGCACTTAGCAGCTTAATCCTCCCCATGAGGAGGGAACACAGCTATGGCTCGACAGGGCTACAGCAAGTATTAATGGTTAGCTCCATCAGCCAGAAGGCTGGGCTCTTCACACGGCAGAGCTGGTCCCTGGCCTCAGGATTTTTCACCTGACTAATAACCAAGCTTTATAACTGTCCCCTGCAGACTATCATGATGATGAATGAATGAGATCAGGTCAGTCAATATGGCTTATTGGTGGAGTTTGCTCACTTGCTGTGGATGCATCATTACCCTGTGCATTCATCAGCACAGTCTTTGCCTGTACAATATGAAATGACAACCAACCTTCTGCTCATCAGCTTTCTGCTAAGAACTCCCAAGCCTTTTTGGGTCCTTCTTTTGCTCTGTATCCTTGTCCTGGGCCATCCTGGAAAGTTGTTCGGGAAGTACCATATCCTTCCTTATTAAAGCAAACCATATTAAGGTGCACCTGTAGGAGTTAAATGAGAAATTGCTGAAAAACACTGACTTCATAACACAGTGATTAATGGTGCATTTACTACTCCTGTCGTCTGCCTGAAAAAAAATCAAGAGTTGCTCCACTAAGTGGCACAGATGCTCTGCAGCTCCACAAGCAGCAGTGATCCTCTTTTGGCTGAATGGTATTTCCAGAGCAAAGCATTTCTCAACTCCACTGAGGCTGTTGAGCCCAGGATTCCTGTAGAAACCAGGGATATTTCAAAGTAACTGCAAGCACCACATTCAAACTGGGTACTCAAAAAGGTGTACTGTACAGCCTGACATATCTTTGCATCAAGCAATAGCTTACACCAGCACAAAAGGGAATAAGGTTTCATGGCTGGAAACTGCTTTGAACTGAAATCTGAGATCTTTGCCATTCCTTTCCAGCTCTGGCGTGAATTCCCTAGGCAGCCCAAGGCAGGCATCTTCATCTCCCTGGGGCACAGTTTGCCATCTGTAAAACTGGGTTAGCATCTCCTGCTCCTTCTTACACTCTTTTTATCCTGTCTATATTAACGGTAAATACAGATGGGCTTTTTTGTGTGCAGGTACAATGCAAAACTAGGGGCACGACCCTGAAAGTGCCACTCATTTAGGGACGGTCTGCCGGGAAAGACGCGAGCTCGGAGCGGCAGGTGCAGGGTAGGACGCACGGATTAAGGGATGCGCACACAGGGATTGGGGATGCCTGCAGGGAAGGACACTCTCCTGG